ATTTAAACAAATTTAAGACTACTACATTGGGACAAGTTTATCTGACCTTGTTAGGATTCATGCATAATTTGATTTAAGACTGCCAATAAAAGATCAAGTTTTTAAAGAAATATGAAGCATACAAATACTACCAAAATGTGTGCTTTAGAAAAATGCATAACATTTAACATGCAGATTGAATTCTCAAGTTTTTTAGTAGCTTAACACCTCAAAACTCTCTCAGCATTTCACTCATATCACTTGATAAATCTTATTGATAATCACCACCATGGAGTTTTTATAAAATGCAACCTTTAAGATGGAAAGGAACAGAAAAGCAATTTAATGTTGGATAAACCATATCTTTTGCAATATTTGTCATTTAAAGTATTGTTACTTTGTGCTCCAAATGTAAAATCTCTAAACAAGCTAATTAAAATTAAATTGAAACCTTTAATTATCATACAAATGAGAAACAGTTCTCAGAGTCAGAAGCTGGAGATGGAAATGGCGTATTAGGTCATTTAGTCCAACCCACAAAAGAATGTGGGGAACCTTTCCTGTGCAGCACAAGATATTAAGGTTAATGACAGCCCTATTAAAAGTCAGACCACCGCAAAATTGCATGACTATTGAACAAGGTCAGTTGGTGAGGCAACAGAAATCTGAAGATACCTGGCATAAACATAGCAAGTGTTCTACAGATGAAGTAGGATGCAGAAACTCAAAAGAAGCTGAGAACTGATGCAAGGTAAAGACAACAGTTGCACAACCAAATAACCCATTGGTGATTTGAACAAGAAAGCCACAGTTCTTGTACCCTGATAATGGCAAGACTAGATGTTCCTGAAGAAGTCCAGGGAAAGCTAGGAAGAGTGATATAAAGCTAGCATCATATAGGAATCCAGAAAGGAAGATGGAAGAATAGCTTGAAAAAAGTCACAATACTGTAATTATCTGGATTTGCACAATAATCAGCTATCATAATTCACCTTCAGAAATCTCTCAATGAACTATAAACTGGGAAGGCCAAGAGACTTCAGGTGATCCTGCGACGCAGACTAAAAATATGAAGCTGATAAAGTACCATAACATCACCAAAGCAAAAAAGGAAAAGAATCTACCCGAGAACAAAATAACAAAAAACAACAGTTATTAAACAACAGTAATTAAAACTGACCCACTCATTTGCTGCTGTATTTCAAGAAGGTTGATCTTCTGTTTAACGCACTGGACTAGGACTCATGAAACCGGTTCTATTCCCAGCTCTTCCACAGACTTCCTGTATGACACTGAGCAAGCCACTTAATCTCTGTGCCTCTGACCTTTATCTTTAAAATGGAAAAAATACTTCCTTTCTCCCCCATTGTCTATTAAAAATTTAAGCTGAGAATGTCTGTGTGTTTGTGCGGTGCCCAGCAAGATTTTATTAATTGTATTATTGTGCCATCTAGGAACTGAACTGACACATGCATGGTGTGAAATTACAATCAACTGCTTAGTTTATCAACTTCAGTTAATATAATAATATTACTGCTTTGATAGAAGGATGCCCCTAACAAATGGCTAAATAGTATCGTAAGAACATGGTGGGAAGGAATAGGAGGATTTATTAGGGACATACCTATCAGTCACGTGCATCTTTTGGGGGCCTATGATTGTATGCATTGAGGTGAAGGCAGAGAACTGAGCTATTCAAAGTCTACATGCTGCACTTTGGCTACATAACCAGGTGATTTCAGGAATGGATGCTGATGGTCATAGGTTTTGATGTCAATACAGATATATTCATAGTGCAGAAGTTTCTTCTTGAACTTCATAATCTCATGTCTTAGAAGTGAGCTGGAAAGCCTTATTACTGTAGGACAGCCTTGCAAAATCCAACTCCCCTAGTTGACCTGAGCTAGTCTTTTTTCTGACTGAAGTAAAAATCTCAATTTTCATTATAATCAACATGGTAAAGCTTGGCTAGCAGATTTGTGCCTAGATTAGTAAACGTATTATAGTTCTGTAAGTCAGGTATGTGGAGTAGAGTTCCTCACAGGCCAAATATTAATTCTTGAGCCTCTCAACCTTATGGTTAAAGGGAATAGGGTAGGTACGGGATAATTCAAAGAGTGATTGTAGGGACAAGATAAGAGGTACAAGAAATTCAGGTGGGATCTAAGCCATCAATTTCTGCAGAATGTAAGTATTCATGTTAAAAGACGTGTTCTGACCCCCCTCCCCCCGCACCCTTTACAGTTGCAAAGAAAAATATTCCAAATGTTGTTTTCCCCCATGTCAGTAAACATTCAGCTCCAGTGCAGCTGCTGCCTCTCCTACCTTGTCAAACACCAGCAAAGTAAAACTGAGAACTATAGTCTGTTTCATTGCTCAGTCAAGTGGGCAGAGGTGAAATTGACAAAAAAAACCCAAGTTAACTTGACTCTGCTGCAAGGAACAGCTATGCCAGGTAGAGACAGGAACTGGAAATATTCATAGGCCAAGGGAGGAGTAGAGCAGCAGAAACCCCAGTGACTTGGATCCATGAAGGGGCTTCAATGTTGAGGGACCAGGAAAGAAAGAATAAAATCTTTCATCCTTCTGGCAACCAGAGGTAGGCTTTTGTTGGGAAATTCAAAACATAAAGCACCTTCTAGCCAACGATTTGCATGAAATCAAATGCCCCTGTACACAATACAATTCTCACATAAATCCCAACAACCTCTCCTTTACCAGTAGCTGTTTATGGTGAGAGAGTGGCTCCTGGGGACTCTGGTGAAGCTCACCACCCTCTCATTTGCACTGGCCTCTGAAAAGTAGCTGAATTCACCTGTTGAATGTGGGGGAGTTTCAGTTACTCAGAGTACACATGCTTCTCATGCCCTCTCTCTGATGTTGTGCATTGATCAGTGGGCCCAGCAGAAGCCCAAGGGGGATCCCCTAGTTACTTGCTATCCCATGGTCCCATGATTCCCTATGTATAGAAGCTAAGGGTCTAGACAAGTATTTGAGCAGTTTGGTTACTTGCAATCCAGATGTTTTACCATACCCCAGGAATGGGTGGAAAACGTTCAAGATGTCCCTATCAGGCTCCCAGAGGAATCTCTTCTGCCCCACCCCATCCCCAGACTCTCAGTCCCCTCAGCCCCCAGAGGGGACCTATCCTACCCTCCCCCATGGTACTCAGTCCCCACAGTCCCTGGAGGGAACCTCTCCTGCCCCCCCCCCTACTCTCAGTCCCCTTGGCCCACAGGGGGAGGGGTGGGGGGGAGGGGGAGAGAGAGAAAGAGACAACTCTCCTACCCTCCAGGGGCACCTCTCCAGCCCCCCTCCCCCACCCAGGTACTCACAGACCTCACAGCTGGGGGGGGGGGAGGGAGAAGAACCTCTCCCACACACACACACCCTGTACTCACAGATCCCACGGCTCCCGGGGGGAACCTTTCCTGCTCCCCCCATACTCACAGTCCCTACAACCTCTGGGAGAACATCTCCTGCCCCCCACCTAGTCAAAGAACCCCCACGTACTCACAACCCCACAGCTCCTGGGGGGGAACCTCTCCCATCACCACCACCACCCCCCCAGTACTCTCAGACCCCACGGCTCCCAGGAGGGAACCTCTCCCCCCTCATCCCCGGTACTCACAGACCCCATAGCTCCCAGGGGGGAACTGCTCCAGTCCCCCACTACCCCAGTATTCACAGACCCCACGGCTCCCATGGGAACCTCTGACAGTTGCCCCCATTACTCTCAGACCCTAAGTCCCCAGGGGGAACCTATCCGGTGCCCTCCATTCCCCCCAGCTCCACCCCCCCCCCATACTCACGGACCCCACAGCTCCCGGAGGAACTTCTGCCACACACACCCCGTACTCACAGACCCCACGGCTCCCGGGGGGGGGGGGGACCTCTCTTTTCCCCCCCCCCCGATACTCACAGACCCCTCGGCTCCAGGG